ACGTTTGGCGCATGTAACAATTTTTGGAATAACACCCTGGCACTGGGACGAACCGTGCACGCATACGTTTGGCGCATGTAACAATTTTTGGAATAACACCCTGGCACTGGGACGAACCGTGCACGCATACGTTTGGCGCATGTGATATTTTTTGGAATGTCACCCTGTCTTCTTTATCTTTGTAAAACGAGCAAGTAACATTGAAAATGTTCACATCTTTCTCAACCAATCAGATTACGAGATTTTAACAGAAGGTATAATAACAAAACATAGTTACCAGTACATGTATATTATATATCGTTATATATATAATACGGAGACAAACTCACTGGAAACTGGAAATGATTAGGCCCTAAACCCCGGGCGCAATGTATCTATAGCATAAGGGGAGGTCGTATAACACGGGTATTCATATCCCCTGGCGCTGTCTGTCTGAAGTATCCCCATCTCCTGGAGCTGTCTGTCTGAAGTATACCCAACCCCTGGCGCTGTCTGTCTGAAGTATCCCCAACCCCTGGCGCTGTCTGTCTGAAGTATCCCCAACTCCTGGCGCTGTCTATCGGAAGTATCCCCAACCCCTGACGCTGTCTGTCGGAAGTATCCCCAACCCCTTGCGCTGTCTGTCGGAAGTATACCCAACCCCTGGCGCTGTCTGTCGGAATTATCCCAAACCCCTGGCGCTGTCTGTCGGAAGTATCCCCAAACCCTGGCGCTGTCTGTCGGAAGGATACCCAACCCCTGGCGCTGTCTGTCTGAAGTATCCCCAACCCCTGGCGCTGTCTGTCGGAAGTATACCCAATCTCTGGCGCTGTCTGTCTTAAGTATCCCCAAACCCTGGCGCTGTCTGTCTGAAGTATACCCAACCCCTGGCGCTGTCTGTCGGAAGTATCCCAAACCCCTGGCGCTGTCTGTCTGAAGTATCCCCAACCCCTGGCGCTGTCTGTCGGAAGTATCCCCAACCCCTGACGCTGTCTGTCGGAAGTATCCCCAACCCCTGGCGCTGTCTGTCGGAAGTATCCCCAACACCTGGCGCTGTCTGTCTGAAGTATCCAACCCCTGGCGCTGTCTGTCTGAAGTACCCTAACCCCTGGCGCGGTCTTTCTGAAGTATCCCCAACCCCTGGCGCTGTCTGTCTGAAGTATACCCAACCCCTGGCGCTGTCTGTCTGAAGGACCCCCAACCCCTGGCGCTGTCTGTCGGAAGTATCCCCAACCCCTAGCGCTGTCTGTCTGAAGTATCCCCACCACCTGGCGCTGTCTTTCTGAAGTATCCCAACCACTGGCGCTGTCTGTCTGAAGTATCCCAACCCCTGGCGCTGTCTTTCGGAAGTATCCCCAACCCCTAGCGCTGTCTGTCTGAAGTATCCCAAAACCCTGGCGCTGTCTGTCGAAGTATCACCAACCCCTGACGCTGTCTGTCGGAAGTATCCCCAAACCCTGGCGGTGTCTGTCTGAAGTATACCCAACCCCGGGCGCTGTGTGTCTGAAGTATCCCAAGCCCCTGGCGCTGTTTGTCGGAAGTATCCCCAACCCCTGGCGCTGTCTGTCTGAAGTATACCCAACCCCTGGCGCTGTGTGTCTGAAGTATCCCAAACCCCTGGCGCTGTTTGTCGGAAGTATCCCCAACCCCTGACGCTGTCTGTCGGAAGTATCCCCAACCCCTGGCGCTGTCTGTCAGAAGTATCCCCAATCCCTAGCGCTGTCTGTCGGAAGTATCCCTAACACCTGACGCTGTCTGTCTGAAGTATCCCAACCCCTGGTGCTGTCTGTCTGAAGTATCTAGGGAGGTGGTATGATACGGGTGTCACCATTCCTTGGCCTGTGAACCTGGAAAAGGCCAACATCCCTACTTGGTCTGTATGTGTTAGTATTGGGGATGTCGAATGTCTATGATCATTGCTTATTCGGAGTGTTTGGAAAAAGGTTAAGAAATAGTTGCCCACACCCCTGGGTACTGTGTACCTGGAATATCGGGGGAGGTCGTATGAGATGGAAGCCCTCTCCACTGTCGGGTCTACGGCTATAGTCAGGATCAGGGTACTCTTATCGTCAGGCTCCTCCTCGTGCTCAAACTCCCATTGGACCAGCTGTGAGGAAAACAAGAACTTGTATATCAAAACACGTGTATGTTGACATACTCAACAGTCTGTAGTAACATATACACGTTATACTTTATTATCATTTACCCTCAACAGTCTATAGTAACAAACATATAATACTTTATTGATACTTACCCTCGACAGTCTGTAGTAACATACACGTAATACTTTATTATCATTTACCCTCAACAGTCTATAGTAACATACACGTAATACTTTATTGTTACTTACCCTCAACCGTCTATAGTAACATACACGTAATACTTTATTGTTACTTACCCTCAACAGTCTATAGTAACATGCACGTAATACTTTATTGTTACTTACCCTCAGCTGTCTGTAGTAACATACACGTAATACTTTATTGTTACTTACCTTCAACAGTCTGTAGTAACATGCACGTAATACTTTATTGTTACTTACCCTCAACAGTCTATAGTAACATACACGTAATACCTTATTGATACTTACCTTCAACAGTCTATAGTAACATACACGTAAAACTTTATTGTAATTTACCCTCAACAGTCTGTAGTAACACACACGTACTTCTTTATTGTAACTTAAGCTCAACAGTCTATAGTAACATACACGTAATACTTTATTGTTACTTACCCCCAACAGTCTGTAGTAACATACACGTAATACTGTATTGGTACTTACCTTCAACAGTCTGTAGTAACATACACGTAATACTTTATTGCTACTTACCCTCAACAGTCTGAAGTAACATACACGTAATACTTTATTATCATTTACCCTCAACCGTCTTTAGTAACACCCACGTAATACTTTATTGATACTTACCCTCAACAGTCTGTAGTAACATAAACGTAATACTTTATTGATACTTACCCTGAACAGTCTATAGTAACAAACACGTAAAACTTTATTGTTACTTACCCTCAACAGTCTATAGTAACATACACATATTACGCTATTGTTACTTACCCTCAACAGTCTGTAGTACCATTCACATGATGCATTATTGTTAACTACCTTCAATCACCCGTAGTAACATATACATAGTTGTTACTTACCCTCAAAAATCTGTAGTAGCGCTCTACGTCCTCTGGCGGACTGCCTCGCGTGGCGGGGAACTGCCAGTCGATGTCCAGTCCGTCGAAGTCGTGTTTGCGGAGGTAGTTGATTGCTTCCCCCGCGAAGATCTGCATGTTTTCTTGCGAAGAAACTGTCTTAGAAAAAAGCTTACTGTCGGTAGCCCAGCCTCCAATTGACAACATCATCACAAGATCATCGTTCTTGGCGCGCATGCTATGGAACCTACGGAACCTGGAAAATATCATATTGTCATTATAGACTGGAGACACCCGGACGGCCGTCGTCACCATTAATTGTCACTGTAGATTATAGCATTATCCTATAGTCGCCCTGGTCTCCGTCACTATCAGTTGTCACTGTACATTATCACAATACCATATAGCCAACGTGGTCTCCGTCACTATCAGTTATGACTGTACATTATAACAATACCCTAAGCAACCGTGGTCTCCGTCACCATCAGTTGTCACTGTACGTTATAACAATACCCTATAGTCGCCCTGGTCTCCGTCACTATCAGTTGTCACTGTACATTATCACAATACCATATAGCCAACGTGGTCTCCGTCACTATCAGTTATGACTGTACATTATAACAATACCCTAAGCAACCGTGGTCTCCGTCACCATCAGTTGTCACTGTACGTTATAACAATACCCTATAGTCGCCCTGGTCTCCGTCACTATCAGTTGTCACTGTACATTATCACAATACCATATAGCCAACGTGGTCTCCGTCACTATCAGTTATGACTGTACATTATAACAATACCCTAAGCAACCGTGGTCTCCGTCACCATCAGTTGTCACTGTACGTTATAACAATACCCTATAGTCGCCCTGGTCTCCGTCACTATCAGTTATGACTGTACATTATAACAATTCCCTAAGCCACCGTGGTCTCCGTCACAATCAGTTGTCACTGTACATTGTAACAATACCCTATAGCCAACGTGGTCTCCGCCACCACCAGTTGTCACTGTACATTAAAACAATACCCTAAGCCACCTTGGTCTCCGTTACCATCAGGTGTCACTGTATATTATAACAATACCCTATAGTCGCCCTGGTCTCCGTCACCATCAGTTGTCACTGTACATTATCACAATACCATATAGCCAACGTGGTCTCCGTCACCATCAGTTGTCACTGTACATTATCACAATACCCTATAGTCACCGTGGTCTCAGTTATCATCAGTTGTCACTGTACATTATAACAATACCCTATAGTCACCGTGATCTCCGTCACCATCAGTTGTCACTGTTCATTATCACAATACCCTATAGTCACCGTGGTCTCCGTCACCATCAGTTGTCACTGTACGTTATCACAATACCTTATAGCCACCGTGGTCTCCGTCACCATCAGTTGTCACATACCTTATAGCCACCGTGGTCTCCGTCACCATCAGTTGTCACTGTACACTATCACAATAACCTATAGCCACCGTGGTCTCCATCATCATCAGTTGTCACTGTACATTATCACAATACCCTATAGTCACCGTGGTCTCCGTCACCATCAGTTGACACTGTACATTATCGCAATACCCTATAGTCACCGTGGTTTCCGTCACCAACAGTTGTCACTGTACATTATAACAATACCCTATAGTCACCCTGGTCTTCGTCACCATCAGTTGTCACCGTACATTATCACAATACCCTAAAGCCACCGTGGTCTCCGTCATCATCAGTTGTCACCGTACATTATCACAATACCATATAGCCACCGTGGTCTCCGTCACCATCAGTTGTCACTGTACATTGTAACAATACCCTATAGCCAACGTGGTCTCCGCCACCACCAGTTGTCACTGTACATTAGCACAATACCCTATAGTCACCCTGGTCTTCGTCACCATCCGGTGTCACTGTACATTATCACAATACCCTATAGTCGCCCTGGTCTTCGTCACCATCAGTTGTCATAGTACATTATCACAATACCCTATAGCCACCGTGGTCTCCGCCACCACCAGTTGTCACTATACATTAGCACAATACCCTATAGCCACCCTGGTCTTCGTCACCATCAGTTGTCATAGTACATTATCACAATACCCTATAGTCGCCCTGGTCTTCGTCACCATCAGTTGTCACTGTGCATTAGCACAATACCCTATAGTCACCCTGGTCTTCGTCACCATCAGTTGTCACTGTACATTAGCACAAATCCCTATAGTCACCGTGGTCTCCGTCACCATCAGGTGTCACTGTACATTATCACAATACCCTATAGTCACCCTGGTCTTCGTCACCATCAGTTGTCACTGTACATTAGCACAATACCCTATAGTCATTCTGGTCTCAGTCACCATCAGTTGTCACTGTACATTATCACAATACCATATAGGCACCGTGGTCTCCGTCACCATCAGTTGTCATAGTACATTATCACAATACCCTATAGTCATCCTGGACTCCGTCACCATCAGTTGTCATTCACAATCAGCTGTCACTGTATTAGTTGAAAAGTTGGTATGTGGTAGATTTGACTTTAGGGGTTAGGTAGATTTGACTTTAGGGGTGTAGCAGATTTGACTTAAGGGGTGTGGTAGATTAGACGTTAGGGGTGTGGTAGATTTGACTTTGGAGGTGTGGTAGATTTGACTTTAGGGGTGTGGCAGATTTGACTTCAGGGGTTAGGTAGATTTTTACTTCAGGTGTGTGGTAGATTAGACTTTAGGTGTGTGGTAGATTTGACTTTAGGGGTGTGGCAGATTTGACTTAAGGGGTGTGGTAGATTAGACGTTAGGGGTGTGGTAGATTTGACTTTAGGGGTTTAGTAGATCTGACTTCAGGGGTGTGGTAGATTTGACCTCAGGGTTGTGGGAAATTTGACTTTAGGGGTGTGGTAGATTTGACTTTAGAGGTGTGGTAGATTTGACTTTAGGGGTGTGGTAGATTTGAATATAGAGGTGTGGTAGATTTTACTTTAGGGGTGTGGTAGATTTTACTTAAAGGGTGTGGAAGATTTGACCAGGGGTTAGGTAGATTTGACTTTAAGGGTAGGAAGTTTTACTTCAGAGGTATGGTAGATTTGACTTTAGTGGTGTGGTAGATTTGACTTTAGAGGTGATGACTTGAACAGGCCGAGGCTATATGGATGGACATACTTACAAGTTGAGTTCCTCTGCTTTATATCCGTCCGGTACAATGATCCGAGTTCCCGTATCATCAAGGGTAGCATAGGCATAGACAATATGGGTACAGAGATAGGGATCGATGTCTTCGGGAGCCAAACCCCTCTCTTTGTCACGGTACAGTGACCAACCACTGTAGTAACACACCCGTTTGAACTGGGCTGGGAACAGAACACATTCAGATGTTACATTGAAAACAACTTGGAGAGCGCAACAACGAACAAACAGATGGTCAAGATGTTTAAACCATGTTCTACAGCTTATGCATATAGCTCATATAGCTCTAGATCGTCTTCTTAAAGCTATTTTGTTTTCTTTGTGATACAAGTGTCGTTTCGGGCATTGGCCAGCCACTTTGTTGTCCTACTTTCCTTTAAGCTGATGTGTCAACAAGTAAACAAAAACGATGTAGTTCCGTTACAGTTGGATTTTCGATTATCCTAGAATTACACACTGCTTACATTATTTACTGCAAATTATGTCGTTTAGCTTATCAATATTTTAGTTATATGTCTAAAGTTATCATATCCACGAACATGAAGTTAAAACCTTTACAGTAAATGGTGAATGGATTTTTTCTAAGCGACTGTTAGGTGGTGATGCGGTTTACCAGAGATTTACGTTGCTGCGCTATAAATGACACGTGTTGCCTTGGCAGCTCCTAGGTCGTACAACAAAAGGTTATGGGGGTTCACCACAGGCTTCACATATCTAAACATATGCAATGAAAGAAAGCTACTCCCAAAAATAATTAACTAGTTTTTATTTCAAATCAATCAATTCATGTCGCTCTTAAAACCCCTGATGCATCTTCGAAACGAACGGATTAAATGTAACAAGGGGAATATAAATAATAACTCTGATATGCTGACTTCTTTTCTTGTATGTGTTGAAATCGATTTTCCTTTTCGATTTCAGTTTTTAAAAAAAACGTATTGGTCCCAAGAAATCCAGTTAGACGTTCAGATATAATTATCCATGCGTCTTTTTCAAATATTTTTAAAGTGACCTACTTTTGTGACCTATAGTTTTTAATGACAATACGTTTAATTGTTTTATTTTCGTGAGCAAACGATAAGAAAATGAATTTAAATCTGTGCAGATTTAAGCGTGAACAATATGAAATATTGAAAGAAAGAAAAACATTGAACAGGGTACTAGGGACCCGATTCAATAAATGGCCATTGGAATACTCCAGAACTTATCCATGTACTTATTTATCACCCATAATTGTTTGAAAATCTTATCATGAACTTTCAGCATTTCTGTTAAAAACAGATGTTCACCGTATTTGGATGAAAACAGTTTCCTAAACCAACGTGGTAATGAGTTCCGGAATGTTCGGCCCTTTGCCGAGAGAACAGAGATAAATGTCAAAGATTTAATGACACGATTGTAAATGAATTATAATCTTCATAACCACAAAATATATGTAAATCATATTCCGTAAGAGCACTGATACACTCCGTATATAAGCAGGTAGTGTCTGGCACCTAGACCACACCTGTCCGAATCGTCGTCACGCGTACGGGTATGGTACCTTGAACACACCTGTCCGAATCGTCGTCACGCGTACAGGTATGATATCTGGATCACACCTGTCCGAATCGTCGTCACCTGAACAGGTATGGTACCTTGAACACACCTGTCCTAATCGTCGTCACCCGTACAGGTACGATATCTGGATCACACCTGTCTGAATCGTCGTCACGCATACAGGTATGGAACCTGGATCACACCTGTCCGAATCGTCGTCACGCGTACAGGTATGGTACATGAACCACACCTGTCCGAATCGTCGTCACGCGTACGGGTATGGTACATGGACCACACCTGTCCGAATCGTCGTCACGCGTACGGGTTCAGGTCTGGTACCTTGACCACAGCTGTCCGAATCGTCGTCACGCGTAAAGGTATGGTACATGGACCACACCTGTCCGAATCGTCGTCACGCGTACAGGTATGGTACATGAACCACACCTGTCCGAATCGTCGTCACGCGTACGGGTATGGTACCTAGATCACACCTGTCCGAATCGTCGTCACGCGTATAGGTATGGTTACTGGACCACACCTGTCCGAATCGTCGTCATCCGTACAGGTATGGTTACTGGATCACATCACACGTAAAGTTATGGAACTAGACCACACCTGTCCGACTCGTGATCACGCGTAAGGGTACATGTACATGTATGGTACCTAGACTACGCCTGTCTAAATCGTCATCAAGCGTGCAGGTATGCTACAGTATCACTTTTTTGCACACATATTCCATGGGATATTTTCGGCGTGGTTATCCTTTCTACAATCTGTATTAGGTTCACGTGCTGTGTTTTGTTTTTTCATATTCCTGTTGAATGGGTCGTGTCATTTATTAACAGAATAGGATGACACATTGGCTGTATCTATTTAATAGGTATATAGTAAGGATTTCCTGCAAGTACCTTAACCTAAAACCTGTCTGATCAACATTTTACTATCGCAGTGACGCATGAACTGACCACATTATCAACATATTTTCTTCACGGAAAACAACAACCAATTTCGATTTACTCAGTTTGCCTTGTATACTGACATGAAGTTTTAAGAATTAGTCCAATCTAATCCATTTGACAAATAAAAAAGGACGTTGACGGATCTAAATTGTATCCAAATAATCCGCCTCGTACAAAAACAGATCGAGCATGCATGAGTATGGGCGGGACCACTGATCGACCTTTGACAGTTTCTTTTTGATTGATCTGTACATGTAGAGTGACCATGCCGACAAATATTAGTCCTTTACTTACTACTCATTCGTAGCTAGGTGAATATTATGTTTTCTAAAACTATGAATGAAGTATTTATAGAAGTTTGTTACAATGGGGTAAAGCGTGCAACAGTGTTGGTCTTCGTGCTAAACTGGGGATTGGAACGTGAACATTTAATGTTCCATATATTGTATCAGAAAACATCAACTCTATCAGAAAACATACCTACATACATAGGATGATGTGTTACATGCAGGCTTTGAGGATGACGTGTAACTTTAATTTCCTGTGTTGAGGATGAAGTACAACTTACCTGTGTTGCAGATGAAGTATACCTTACCTGTGTTGAGGATGACGTGTTACTTACCTGCTGTGAGGATGACGTGTAACAGGAGGACAAGTACACTTCGAAGAACGGCTTGCGCGTCCATCTGTGGAATATAGCAGAGGACTTTTACGTTATAGGATATAAGGGCACTTTGTGTGTAAACTGTTACACAGTTGTTGAATGAGATTGAATGCGGCATATACTATTTTATTTAACAATTCTGTAAGGCCCTATTGTTGTGTAAGCTCTTAGGTTTTATTGTGGTGTAGGTTCTAAGGCTTTATGGAGGTATTCGCTCTAAGGCTGTATTGCGGTGTTAGCTTTACGGCACAATTGAGGTGTAAGCTCTATGTCTGTATTGAGGTGTAAGCTCTAAGGCTGAATGTTGTGTAAGCTCTATGTCTGTATTGCGGTGTTAGCCCTAAGACTGAATGTTGTGTAAGCTCTATGTCTGTATTGAGGTGTTAGCTCTAAGACTGAATGTTGTGTAAGCTCTATGTCTGTATTGAGGTGTAAGCTCTATGTCTGTACTGAGGTGTAAGCTCTAAGACTGAATGTTGTGTAAGCTCTATGTCTGTATTGAGGTTTTAGCTCTAAGACTGAATGTCGTGTAAGCTCTATGTCTGTATTGCGGTGTCAGCTCTAAGACTGAATGTTGTGTAAGCCCTATGTCTGTATTGAGGTGTTAGCTCTAATACTGAATGTTGTGTAAGCTCTTTGTCTGTATTGTGGTGTAAGCTCTAAGACTGAATGTTGTGTAAGCTCTACGTCTGTATTGAGGTGTAAGCTCTATGTCTGTACTGAGGTGTAAGCTCTAAGACTGAATGTTGCGTAAGCTCTATGTCTGTATTGCGGTGTAAGCTCTAATACTGAATGTTGTGTAAGCTCTATGTCTGTTTTGAGGTTTTAGCTCTAAGACTGAATGTTGTGTAAGTTCTATGTCTGTTTTGCGGTGTAAGCGCTAAGACTGAATGTTGTGTAAGCTCTATTGCTGTATTGCGGTGTAAGCTCGAAGGCGGAATGTTGTGTAAGCTCTATGTCTGTTTTGCGGTGTAAGCTCTAAGACTGAATGTTGTGTACGCTCTATGTCTGTATTGAGGTGTAAGCTCTAAGACGGAATGTTGTGTAAGCTCTGTGTCTGTATTGAGGTGTTAGCTCTAAGACTGTATGTTCTGTAAGCTCTATGTCTGTATTGCGGTGTCAGCTCTAAGACTGAATGTCGTGTAAGCTCTATGTCTGTATTGCGGTGTCAGCTCTAAGACTGAATGTCGTGTAAGCTCTATGTCTGTATTGAGGTGTAAGCTCTAAGACTGAATGTTGTGTAAGCTCTGTGTCTGTATTGCGGTGTCAGCTCTAAGACTGAATGTTGTGTAAGCTCTATGTCTGTATTGAGGTGTTAGCTCTAAGACTGAATGTTGTGTAAGCTCTTTGTCTGTATTGCAGTGTAAGCTCTAAGGCTGAATGTTGTGTAAGCTCTATGTCTGTATTGTGGTGTAAGCTCTAAGACTGAATGTTGTGTAAGCTCTATGTTTGTATTGAGGTGTTAGCTCTAAGACTGAATGTTGTGTAAGCTCTATGTTTGTATTGAGGTGTTAGCTCTAAGAATGAATGTTGTGTAAGCTCTATGTCTGTATTGCGGTGTAAGCTCTAAGACTGAATGTTGTGTAAGCTCTTTGTCTGTATTGTGGTGTAAGCTCTAAGGCTGAATGTTGTGTAAGCCCTATGTCTGTATTGCGGTGTAAGCTCTAAGACTAAATGTTGTGTAAGCTCTAAGGCAGTATTGCGGTGTAAGCTCTATGTCTGTATTGAGGTGTTAGCTCTAAGACTGAATGTTGTGTAAGTTCTATGTCTGTATTGGGGTGTTAGCTCTAAGACTGAATGTTGTGTAAGCTCTATGTCTGTATTGCGGTGTAAGCTCTAAAACTGAATGTTGTGTAAGCTCTAAGGCAGTATTGCGGTGTTAGCTCTAAGACTGAATGTTGTGTAAGCTCTATGTCTGTATTGCGGTGTTAGCTCTAAGGCTTTATTGTGGTGTAGGCACTAGGGCTCAGTTTCGGTGTAAGTTCTAAAGCCGTATTGTAGTGTTAGCTCTAGGCTCATTTGTGGTGTAAGCGCTAAGGCTGTATTTCGGTGAAAAGCTCTAAGGCAGTTTTGTGGTTTAAGATTTAAAATTGTTTTGCAGTGTAAGCTCTAACTCTGTATTGCTGTGTACACTCCAGGACTGTTTAGCGCTTTAGGCTCTTGGGCTGTAGGCGGTGTTAGCTCTAAGACCCAGTTGCGGTGTAAGCTCTAAGGCTGTATTGTTGTGTAAGCTCTAACGTTGTATGGCGGTGTTAGCTCTCAGAATGTATTGTGGTGTAGGCTCTAAGGCAGTATTGAGATGTAAGCTCTTTGGCTGAATGTTGTGTAAGCTCTAGGTCTGTATTGCGGCGTAAGCTCTAATGTAATATTTTGGTGAAGGCTTTTGTATTGTATTGTGGTGTTAGCTCTAAAGCTCAGTTGCGATGTAAACACTAATCCTGTATTGTTATGTAAGCTCTAAGGCAGTACTGCGGTGTATGCTCTCGGTCAGTATTGGCGTATGAACTCTCAGGCAGTATTGCGGTTTAGGGTCTGGGGTACTATTGCGGTGTAAGCAGTCAACGGAAGAAAAGAATGGCCACGCCTACAAGGGTTTGACTGCTGTGTATCACTCGACAACTTAAGTGTAATTAGCGACGTATACATCTGTATTTAAATGGATATTATGTGTTACTCCTTCGTCAGGTGTTTTAATACTGACATGGACTACATATGCCCTACTTACCAGGCACTTGTCAGTGATTGTATATTTTAGTGATAGCCAATGAGCTTTGACAGTGAAACTCTCCGCCTGCTTGTTCACACTAACACTGTATGTAGCTGTTTCTTACTCCAATCATTCACATTCATTAAATTATCAAGTACTAGTCATAAAACAATGACATACCGCAAATACATAAACAAATTCTCAATTACATCGAGGTTTTTATTTATATCATTTCTATGTAACTATCGGTTAATTTATGTACTTTTTACATTAAACATGACCCATCAGTTACCTTACGTGAGAGCAGCCACGAGAACCTTGACCGGTTCAGAGTCGACAGAGGAAACCTGCTGACATCTTAATGGGCTGACATGGCAGGGACATGAGTAATGTAAATACGCCATAATCTACACGTAGTATATCAATTATCATTTCAATAACGGGTCTATGTTTAGATGTAAATGTAGGTCCTGGCCACCTTGGGACTGGCGACACCTAACACACAATCTCCCTCAGAATGCATTGCGGTCCACTCCGTCTCTGTAAACGTCACACGCCATTTTCAAGATTTTTGAAATCATGATATGCAATACATTTATGAACTAATACTTTTCTCTTCTTCATATTAAAATATGATCATGTTTGATTTCATCAGTTTATAGTAAAACTGATTATTTTTATCAAATCATTTCTTTGGGATATTATTTCGTGTCATGTTTACAGAACCAAATCCCTCACCAAGATGATCAGATTGAGGTTATTCCGCAACGGAATCACCCCTTTTCGACAATTTTCTGTAGCTGTGTCCTGGCAGGGCGTTGCTGCCTTAACCTTGTTACCATATAAACAGATAGCGCTGCCATCAATGTGAAAAATAAAGCGCGCTTCAATTCATTTTGCTATATTCCATAAGAAATCGTTCGACCAAAATGACGTCCTAAAATGACGTCCTAAAATGACCTTAGATGTTTATAAGACGTTAAACCCAAAATGTTATAAAAGCAATTGTGCAAACATCAATAATATTTTTAATACTGCAAAACGATGACAGACAAACACAATTAGGTAACAACATCAAATACATAAAAATATGCAAAACCATTCTCCTTTAGATAATACATGAGTTAAAACATCTCTTCTGAACAAAGTCACTAATACGTCAAATGCAAGTTAGATTCAGCATGTACCACGTGCTTTCTGTAGAGTTACCCAAGCAGCTACATCAATGTTGTATTAATTAAACCAGTACTATCTGTAGCTACCATGTCACACTAACGGTTACGGATATATTAACTGGTGACACATTATCCATGCCAACTAACATGTAATCCATGCCAGCTGAGGACAAGTAACGTGTTATCCATGGCAGCTGAGGACTAGTTAAGTGTTATCCATGCCAGCTGAGGACTAGTAAAGTGTAATCCATGCCAGCTGAGGACTAGTAAAGTGTAATCCATGCCAGCTAAGGACTTAGTCACTCATTTGTTATCTATGCCAGCTGAGGAGTAGTGACTTGTTACCCATGCCAGTTGTGAAATAAAACCGTGTTATCCTGCCAGCGGGGGACAATTGAGATGTTATCTATGCCAAATGAGGACTAGTGGCTTGTTACCCATGCCAGCTGAGGAATAGTGATGTGTTATCCATTCCAGCTGAGACTAGTGACGTATTATCAATGCCAGTTGAGGACCAATGACGTGTTATACATGCCAGTTGACGACCAGTGACGTATTATCAATGCCAGTTCAGGACCAATGACGTGTTATACATACCAGTTGAGGACCAGTGACGTATTATCAATGCCAGTTGAGGACCAATGACGTGTTATACATACCAGTTGAGGACCAGTGACGTATTATCAATGCCAGTTCAGGACCAATGACGTGTTATACATACCAGTTGAGGACCAGTGACGTATTATCAATGCCAGTTGAGGACCAATGACGTGTTATACATACCAGTTGAGGACCAGTGACGTATTATCAATGCCAGTTCAGGACCAATGACGTGTTATACATACCAGTTGAGGACCAGTGACGTATTATCAATGCCAGTTGAGGACCAATGACGTGTTATACATACCAGTTGAGGACCAGTGACGTATTATCAATGCCAGTTCAGGACCAATGACGTGTTATACATACCAGTTGAGGACCAGTGACGTATTATCAATGCCAGTTGAGGACCAATGACGTGTTATACATACCAGTTGAGGACCAGTGACGTATTATCAATGCCAGTTCAGGACCAATGACGTGTTATACATACCAGTTGAGGACCAGTGACGTATTATCAATGCCAGTTGAGGACCAATG